TACAAAGTACTTCAGAAGCTAGGCCCAGTCACATTTAAACTGGAACTGCCTAAGCAAATGAAGGTCCACCCAGTCTTCCATGCTAGCAAGTTGATCATGTACCATCAAGACACAATCACAAACCACGAACCCCCAAAACCCCCAGCCATAGAAATCGAAGGAGAACCAGAATTCGAAGTTGAGGAAATACTAGACTCGACGGTTGTAAGGGGAAGGGTCCAATACCTCATCAAATGGAAAGGCTATGACCATTCCGATGATACATGGGAACCCCGAACAAATCTTACCAACGCTGATGAACTTCTTCATGAATTCCACCAGCAACATCCCGATGCAGCCAAAGCACCAATCAGGGTCGTCACTTTTGGTGGAAAACGCTTCGAATTATCCTCATATGAAGTTGCACCGATCTCCACACACGGAATCAATATGTCTGACCATCCAGACGAGTTCTTCCTATATCATAAAATGACAGATCTCACCAAATCACCGAAAAAATCCTCAAATGAAGCAGCAGGATGGGATATTTATGCAGCAGAAACGCATGAAATCCCCCTGCATTCACGAGCTGTGGTAGAAACGGGAGTCGTGATTGACCCTCCCAAACATACCTATACATGAATAGCTCCACGCAGCGGACTGGCTGCATGAGGAATTGACGTGGGCGCAGGAGTCGTCGATCCGGATTACACTGGGGAACTCAAGGTCGTACTAATCAACACAACAGATTTCGTATTTTCGGTCAAGCCAGGAGATAGAATAGCCCAAATAATCTTCGAGTATTATGCAGAAGGGCTTCCCTCCCGAAGCTACCAACCGTTGCGAGCAACTAGAAGGGGTAATAAAGGTTTTGGCTCCTCGGGACAATGAGCCTTAAGAGGGGGGTAGTGTCACAGATTTTCGCCACAAAGTCCGCACGTGACTTTTCTCACACCACAGATCACGTGCTTCACCAATATCTCACGCCACTCAGCCACAGACTCGACGCGTAGAGATCAGGTGGTAGTCCACATCACATGTTATGGTCCAGACCCGTGGATGATACGGTCAGACCTGTCTATTCCAGGATACAATAGAGGCACCCATTTGGGAACAAAGGGAACAAGGACTATTGTTATGCATCGGCCTTCCGCTTCCAATTAGTTTAGCCAGAAGCCTAGATAGGTACGATGTTCACACCGGAAAACAAAAGGGAAACCAAGATAGGCACGATGTGCACATGCATTACTGCGGCAACCATCGATCTTCCCACTTATTGTTCTACTTCCGGACATCCTATTGTTTCATGTACGGCCATTTGCTTATACCCGTAGATAGGTAGCTTAGGTAAGATAGCCCACTGTACCTGTATATAAGACCAGCCATGTAGGGGATGAAACCTCAGATTGTTTCTCCTCGTCTACTACTCATAGCACTCACTGAGCTCACCAGCTCCTTCATATATCTCTCACCCTTTCCTGCATCTGCCACATCGACCAGTAAGTCAACAGGCTCTTGCGCCACATAGGGTTCAGGGGGATCAGGGCGGCACGTTTCACGTGACTGTCCCTTTTTAGTCTTTTTGATCTCTTGTCCGGTGTTACCGTGACAGACAGGAGAAAGAGTTCACCTGTCAAGCAGAGCCTTTAGCAGTCACAGGATCAGTCATTCTCAATCCATACAACACCTACTTGAAGCACGTTCACAATGGAGAAGAGCCAGAACAGTTGACCATCGCAAAAGACTCCCATGCATTGCGATCGATAGTCGCCCTTGTCGACAACAAGGAGTGAGTACAGGCAATTCTGGATCCAGGATGCCAGATTGTTGCAATGTCAGAAGAGGTCTGCCTCTCACTGGGGCTTATTTACGATCTGACAATAAAGCTCAACATGCAGTCTGCGAATGGAGAAGTCGACCAGTCACTCGGACTCATTCGCAACGTACCATTCCAAGTCAGAGATATCGTCCTCTACTTGCAAATCCATGTCATTCATGCAGCCACATACCATATTCTTTTAGGATGACCATTTGACGTGCTTACCAAGAGTGTGGTGCACAACTTCTTCGATGAGAATCAGACAGTTACAATTGTATGTCCCAACACAGGAAGAGTCACAACGATACCTACGATACCAAGAGGATCACCACGAGTCAGGGCACAGCATTTGTGATCAAAGGATCTGGGTTTTCACTAGCAGAAGATATGAGTACCGAAAGCAGCAGGATGGCATTAATCATTGATGTAAGCAGCACAAATACGCCTATTATATCAGCCTATTCCCCAGTCGTATCTTCTGATCCCGTTTTCGTTCAGTCAAGCTATTTGTGAGCCTCAGGACAGGCCCTCCACACAGTATCATCATTGTACGCCGTCAACTCAGATTTTTGACTGACCCCTCAAACCTCGACTTCGTGACTGCTACAGACAATTGTAGGTCACAATTGCGATCAAGAGTCAAGCTCGAGAGCAGGCTATGCTGTGACCAAGAAAAGGTACAAGCCAGTCGTGCTGAAAACTCGACCAGTAATCGCATCTGTACCCAAGCAATTTCGAATTGTTTGAAGAATCGTGGGAGATCCTTTGCAACACCTACCTAAGCTTCTGGAGTGGCCGGCTCCATTCTTTCTAACTGGTTGCTATGCGAAGGAACGCATGGAGGCTTTGGATGTGGTGCACCAGCTGGGATTCTTATGGCCAGAGGAGTGAGCTCTCATGCACGCATTCATGTGTCTGCACAATCAGGCATTTGCTTGGAGCGATTTCGAGTGAGGGCGATTCAAGTCACAGTATTTCTCATCGATCAATTTTCCAGTCATTCCACATCAGCCATGGGTTCAGCGGAACATTCCAATTCCACCAGGCATTTACAAGGAAGTCTGCGCGATTATCAAGAAGAAGTTGGATGCCGGAGTCTACGAGCCCTCAAACTTCTCATACCGATCACGATGGTTCTGTGTCGTAAAGAAGGACGGAAAGTCTCTGCGACTTGTTCACAGTCTCGAACCACTTAATGCCATCACAATCCAGCACTCAGGAGTTATGCTGACTCCAGAGCATCTAGCAGAGCAGTTCAGTGGTCGCACCTGTGGAGCCATGCTCGATCTATATGTTGGATACTATGAGAGACTCATAGCAGAGACATCGCACGATCTCACCACGTTCCAGATGCCTTTTGGTGCTTTGCAACTGGTCACCCTTCCGATGGGATGGACAAACTCGGTGCCGATCTTCCACGATGATGTCACTTACATTTTGCAATCAGAAATTCCTGCATTCACCGTGCCATACATCGATGATGTCCCAGTCAAAGGTCCAGTGACTAGATATCTCAATTCGGATGGAAGCTTCGAGATGATCGTAGGCAATGATGGCATTTGACAATTCATCTGGGAACACTTCCAGAATCTGAATCGCATTGTGCAGCGAATAAAGTATGCAGGAGGTACCTTCTCGGGAACGAAGTTAACATTATGTGCCGAAGAGATCACGGTCATCGGACACAGGTGTACTCCGATTGGACAATTGCCAGATGAATCACGAGTCTGGACAGTCAGAAATTGGGGCCCATGCAAGGACCTATCAGAAGTTCGAGCTTTTCTAGGCATGATCGGAGTTGCGAGGATCTTTATCAGGGACTTTGCAAAGTGAGTGCACTCGATTGTGCAGCTTACTCGGAAAGGAGTTCCATTTGAATTTGGCGAGGCACAGCTCAAAGCGATGGAAGACCTGAAGCAGGCATTATTGGAATTGCCAGCTTTGCAAGCAATCAATTACGACTCATCAGCACCAGTTATTCTTGCAGTGGACATGTCTCTGATCGCAGTCGGATATCAGTTGTGCCAAGGCGCAACTGATGGATCGAAAAAGCAGTTCTTCAGTCGGTTTGGGTCTATCATGCTCAATGATCACGAGAAGAGGTTTTCGCAACTGAAGCTCGAGCTCTACGGTCTATATCGCGCTTTGCGAGCACTCAAGGTCTATCTGATCAGTGTTCGCAATCTGATAGTCGAAGTCGATGCCAAGTACATCAAGGGCATGTTGCAGAACCCAGACATTGCCTCAAGTGCAAGCGCTAATCATTGGGTCATTGTGATTCTCATGTACCAGTTCTGACTAGTCCACATCTCAGGAGTCATGCATGGTCCAGATGAATTATCACGCCGACTGAGACAGCAAGGTGACCTGCCACCAGAGCCGATCGAGGACACCAACTTTGATGACTGGGTGGATCGCATGAACAGCTTTATGCATCAAGTACTTCCCTGAGTGCAGATTCCGAGAAATCTGCCATCGACCGAGGATGGCCAATTTTTCAGAATGGAGGAGGAGCCAGCCACGCAATCAGTTTTTGTGCTTCCAACTCAAAAGAACGATGGATCGGAAACCGTGCGAAATACTCAGGACCCGAAGGCGGTCAACTACAAGGACGTTTCAAGATCCGCACGAGCCAGACGGAATGACCATCTCATTGCTCTAATTACCAACTGGCTAGAAACATTGCAGTGACTGGAGAATTACTCGGACAAAGAGTATGATCGAATGCTCAAGTATGCAGTCCACTTCTTTAAACGCGATGGACATCTCTGGAGGAAAGATGGACAAGGATCGCACAAGCTAGTCATATTACCAGAAAATTGACTGCGGGTCCTAGCTGGAGCACATGATAAACTTGGACATCGAGGCATTTTTCCGATGTGGTCATTGATTCACGAATGCTTTTGGTGGCCGGACATTGCGGCCAACATCGCTTGGTTCGTCAAGACTTGCGTAATATGTCAAAAGTGACAGATTTGCCAGATTCTCATTCCACCGACTGTTTCGATTTCAGCCCCAATATTTGCAAAGATATATATTGACACAATGCATATGCCGCCCTCAAACAGATTCAAGTACATTGTGCAGGGTCGGTGTTCACTCACCCACTATCCTGAGTTCTGTAGAATACACCTGGAAGCTGGAAATGGCATACAAGATGCTTGACCCCAAGCACACGGCACAATCACTGTTGGATGTGCACTGCGCAATTCGCCACAACACAATGATCGCCTTCGCAGAAACTTTCAGGGCCTACACCCCCGAATCAGGATATTCTGACGAAGGTTTGATCATCAAAATTAGGGAACAACGGTCGACCCATATTCAGATGGTCATGTCAGTAACAGAGACTCTAGACCCCTCCAAGATTCCAACTACTTGGATGGATTATCTCGAATTCTGCTTAGAGATAGAAATCAAACATCTCCAGCAAATTTTGGGAAACAAGTCTACTAGACAGACCACAGCAACTTAGGTGACCACCCCCAAGGACCCTAATGCCATGGATACTAGCGCACGAATCTCCCATGAGCTTTCCTCGAAACAAGACAGATGGCTGGCAAATAAACTATGTTTATTTTGCGGAAAGCATGCCTATGAACGAGGAAAGTGATGCCCCTCCCCTAAATCAGAATACAAGGGCAAGCAGTTTCAGATGCGACCCGCTCTGAAACAAGGAAAAGGAAAGGGCAAGGTGATGAACGTGCGACAAGTCAAAGAAGAAGGTAGCTCGGACACATCACCTCAAATTGCAGCATTGAAACAAGCAATTGCTGCACTTCATGGGATGAGCACCAACTCGACTACTCCACCATCCAGCAAAGGCAAGGGCAAGGTGAAGAGCACGGACGCGGCATCAATGGCATCGGCATCTACGGTCAAGGACACCAATGTGAGAATCATCGAGCTGGATGAATTCTCAGAGGATTTTCTGTATGAAGTGTAGACAAGTCTGGCACTACACTTCAGGACAATTGTATTAGTACTGTGAGAACTAATGTACCTAGCGATCATCTATATATTGCATCCACCGGTTTTTTCTAAACATTCCATCCAATTGCCGATAAAATTCGTATCATGGGAAGTCCAGACAACGGCCTTATTGGATTCTGGAGCATCCTCCTGCTATATTGATCAGAGATTTGCTCAAAAACACGGGTTTAAGATGACACCACTAAACCGTGAAGTAAGAATCCTCAACGCAGATGCCAGTCCTAACAAGGGTGGCACAATTACTCATCACGTAGTCACAAACATCTTAATTGGGGGGGCACCAATCAACCGAGAGTTTGCTCGTCACCAACCTCGGACGCATGTCAATGATCCTTGGCATGAAATTTCTACAAGAACATAACCCCCAAGTTGACTGGGAATATAGAGAGGTCACGTTATCAAGATGCAGACACATGAAGAATCAACGAGTCAGAGTAAGTGAAGAAGAGGTCAACCTTCTATCGTAACCTCGACTCGAAGATGAAGCAATTCTCCCCGACATACACCAGGATGACAGGTGGGATCAGGAAGACAACTTCATCAACTGGATACACTTGCAAGACCAGGATCTTTGTAATATGGTGCACGACATCCTAGGCATAAGCAAGAAGGTAAAGGAGCATTTGGTAGAACAGCCAGCAGAAGAGACACAGGACAAAGAATATTGGTCTAAATTTGTCTCTCCAGAATTCCATCAATTTGAAGATGTGTTTTTGAAGAAGAGCTGGGAAAGAATTCTGACGCGTAAGCCCTATGATCACGCAATTGATCTTGTCCCAGACGCGGCAACCCCGAGACCGGCAAAGGTCTATCCTATGTCTTTATGAGAGAAGAACTCGCTCGATGAATGGATTAATGGTGACCTAGCCAAAGGCTACATTTGACCCTCCAAATCCCCGTACGCTGCTCTGGTGTTTTTCGTCAAGAAGAAAGATGGCTCCCTTAGACTTGTACAAGACTACAGGGCATTAAACAGTATCACTAAGAAGAACAAATTCCCACTCCCCCGAATCAATGATCTCATTGACGGACTCTCAAGGGCTAGTATATTTACTACGCTAGACCTGAGATGGGGGTACAACAATGTACGCTTTGCAAGGGAGATGAGGAGAAAGCAGCGTTCATTACCCATAGAGGATTATTTGAACCTACTGTAATGTACTTTGGATTCTGTAACACCCCTAGCACTTTCCAGACCATGATGAACGACATCTTAGGCAATCTCATTCGCACTGGAAAGGTGGCAGTCTACATAGATGACATCATAATCTTCATGGATAACCAGGAAGAACACAACCGTCTTACCAAAGAAGTCCTACAATGCCTCAGAGATAATGACCTATTTGTGAAACCAGAGAAGTGTCACTTTGCGACAACCTTCATTAAGTTTCTAGGTCTTATAATCTCAAAAGGGTTGATACAGATGGATTCAAAGAAGGTCGACGGTGTGCTCAAATGGCTGGTGCCCACCAAGGTAAAGCAAGTACAAGCATTCCTTGGTCTGGCAAACTTTTATCGACGATTCATCAAGGACTTCGGATCGATGACCCGACCCTTGACTCTATTAACCCGTAAGGACGCAGCATCAAAATGGGAAGAACCTCAACAAAAGGCATTCAAGGCCCTCAAGACTGCATTCACTTCCATTCTGATCTTAGCACTCCCCAACGCAGTCGTCCCTTTAGAGTAGAGACGGATGCCTTGGACTTTGCCACAGGCACGGTCCTTGAACAGTTGGGAGAAGATGAACTCTGGCATCCTGTCACCTACTACTCCAAGTCACTCAATGAACACGAGCGAAACTATGAGATTTATGACAAGGAAATGCTAGCTATCATTCAGGCATGAAGAACAACCTCACCCGGTTGAGATATGATCGGATCACCTAAATCTTACCTATTTCTGACAAGCTCAAACATTAACTAGACGCCAAGCTCGCTGGTCACTTTACCTTACCCGATTCAATTTCATTCTCCGTCACCACCCCGGAAAGACGATGATGTGCGCCAATCCTCTGTCCAGAAGGCCAGATCATGAGAAGGGGGTGAGCAATGACAATTCAGGGCAAACTTTGCTTCGACCCGAATACTTTGCCATCCACGCGATCTCAGCCACTCATTCCTCCGAAGTTGACGATGCAAAACTTCTAGAAAGAGTGAAATCGGCACTACAAGATGACGAAATGACCAAAGGTTACCAGCACCTACTAAAAACTGGAAAGCGAGAGTTCAGAAAAGACCTCCAAGAGTGGAACTTCAAGCATGGATTGCTGCTCAGAAGAGGAAAGGTTTATGTTCCAAAAGACTCTATGCTGCGGAATGAGCTGATCAAGCTGCACCACGATATCTCCACAGCCGGACACCCCGGATGATGGAAGACACAAGAACTGATCAGCAGGAATTACTGGTGGCCAGGGCTCACCATTGATGTAAAGAAGTACGTCCAAGGCTGCGTAACCTGTCAGAGAAACAAGACAAGCAAGCAAAAGCCTTATCGACTACTACAACCCAACCTGGTATCAGAGGGACCTTGGGAAATGGTTACATGTGACCTGATTACACAGTTACCACCAAGCCCAGACCACAGGGGAGAAAAGAAGACTGCCATTTTGGTAGTCATCGACAGGTTCACCAAACATGCTCACTTCTACCCAGTAGATGACACCGTGACAGCATCTCAAGTAGTGTCAATCTTTTACAATGAAGTATTCAAACTCCACAGAATCCCCAGGCAGATCATATCTGATTGAGGCACATAGTTCTCAGCCAAATTATTCCAGGAGTCCTGTCAGAAACTTCACATCAAGTCTACGATGTCTACAGCTTATCACCCCGAAACGGATGGACAGACTGAACGAGTCAACCAAATTCTAGAGCAATATCTGCGCATGTACTGCAATTATCGACAAACTGACTGGGCTACACTACTGTCCACAGCTGAATTTGTGTACAACAACCAAGCTTCAGAATCGACAGGTCTGTCCCCATTTTTCATTGAGCATGGTCGACACCCTCGAATGGCACCAGATGTACTAGAAGGGATACAACATCCATCCCTGGAAATTTATTCCATAACCATGATCAAGCACAGAAACAAGCACATGCCGCTTTGTCATTAGCAGCTGAAAGAATGAAATGGTATTTCGATCTCAAAAAGCAGAACGTCCCTTTCAAAGTAGGAGATGAAGTTCTTATTCAAGGAAAGGATCTCCATGTAAAAGTCAAAAGCCAGAAACTTGCGACTCAAAACTATGGACCATTCAAGATCCTCGAAAAAATCGGAACCGTATCATTCAAACTGCAACTACCAGCGGACATGAAGCTGCATCCAGTGTTTCATGCTTCCAAGCTTATAATGTTTCATCAAGACTCTATCCCTGGACACGTACCTCCCCCTAATCCTCCAATCATCATAGATGGAGAAGAAGAGTGGGACGTGGAAGACATCCTGGATTCAAGAGTCAGGTACAACCAGACCCAGTATCTCGTTAAATGGTTAGACTACGACCACAGCGATAATACTTGAGAACCCCTGGAAAACCTCACAAATGTCAAAGACAAAGTAGAGGAATTCCATAAGACACACCCAGATACTCCAAGAGCCAAGCCGTGCACATGCAAAGCACACAGAATCGCCTTATCTGACCACCCTGATGAATTCATGTTCTTTTTCCGCACTCATCCAAATGCCCGAGCACCTTACAAGGGATCTTCAGAAGCTGTTGGATGGGATGTCAAGGCCGTACAAGACATAGACATTCCCCTGCACTCTAGAATGCTCGTTGGCACAGGACTTGCAGTAGACCCCCCAAAATGGACATACATTCGAGTAGGCCCCCGAAGTGGGCTAGCCCTCAAAGGAATCGATGTCGCAGCAGGGGTAATCGATCCAGATTACACAGGAGAAATCAAGGTGCTTCTCATTAACATGACCAGCACAACATTCGAGGTCAGGACAGGCGATCGTGTCGCACAACTCATATGCGAACGTTACGCTCCAGGAATCATTTCTGAGGCAGACAGTTCACTCGCAAATTGAACCATATGAGGTGCCAAAGGCTTTGGCTCATCGGGACGATGAACCTTGAGAAGGGGGTGATGTCACAGTTTTTACCTGACAAGTCATTATAGGAACAAATGCTAATAGAAGCATATCATTTTTCATCATTTTGCATTGCACAATGAATCACGTGACCTAATGGGAGATAAGATAAAGGCATCTAGTCACATGACCTCAGATCTCTCTCGGCATTGTCACGTAACACCGAGCTCCTCAGCATTGCATCATATTGTGCAATCGCCATGACGCCATATTGCATGCTCTAAAGGAGCTCCGTCTCTGCAGATTATTATTAGGCAGCCAATCTGGATAATTGAGACAAGTAGTACGATTGTAGCACCGTCCAGTAGAATAGCGTGTGACTCACTTATGTAGTACTGTACAGTAGCTAGACAATCATGTATATAAGGATCAGTGAGACGAGGAGAGACCTCAGTCTTATTCTCCTTCATCCACCACTACCATCACAGAGGGGTCTTACCAGACACTCTCAGTGTGCTATACATTCCATTTGCATCCTCACCTTTGTGATAGCGCCTCTCGCATCACTAGTAAGTCTTACTCTGTGACTAGCGACTAGGTCTCCTCAGTGGGCACGTTGACTTGCCACAGCTCATCGCTGTAGGCTCTTATCAGAGACCCTTAAGGGGACTCTTGTTTGGTTGTCTATCTTTGTCATCAGCATGCCATGACACCCTTGCCGGACCAGACACATGGACCAAGGACAACACCAGATGTCACACCGGACAGACCACATTCCAGGGATGACAGTATTGAAAGTCCCCCATGTTGAGGAACTCCAGCCGTGGCCAGCAAGTGTTTGGCGAATGCGATGGAAGACTGGAGATGATCTTTTGCAGCCATAGCTTTCGAATATTTGGAAAAGCACGGACA